TGTCACTCATAAAACCTAAGCCCTGTGAATGATAGAAAACAGTTGAACCATCATAGTCAAGAAGGATGAAATCCTCTTCCACTTTGTTAATGACTAAATGTTTTTTTCCTTGTGAGTTTTTATTTATTTAATTTGTTTAAAATATTTATATAGCCAGTCATTTATATAGTTGAACTTTAGGAGACTCTCAATCAACTAAATGGTAAACTATCCCTTCTATTTCCTGAACTGAGTACTGGGGTGCTGCACATGTTTTACAAATAGTTTGGGAAAGTGTTTGGACTGCTGCTTTTAAGTTGCTGACACATATTGCAACTATAAAAGCATCCACATTTTTTTTCAAGCTTCCATGAAATCCAGAAAAAAGAAGAGGATTCTTTCATGAAAGGGAAGTGCTGAATTCCTGCTAGGTCTGAAGTGCTTCTTTGAAAGCATGTTTACAATATGTACTGAATGCACACTGACTAATGGACAAGGAGTATGAGTATGATCTATTCAAAGTTATGCTAAATCAGTTGCTTACAACTGTGGAATAGACTAGAGTACCACATCTATTTCATTTTTCAGGAGCTAAGCAAGGTATTTTTTATTCTTTCAAGCCTTTTGAAATATACCATGTTTCAAACAGAGTATTTATATAATATATAATAGAATTTTATGCAACAATGAGCTTTGTAACCAATCATAGCTCCTATCTATGCTTTCATTTTTTATTGGAGATATACTTTTTTGATCTAAAACCTGTGAAAACTCATTGCTTTTATTATACTTCCTGATAGGGAGTCATAGGTTTAGAACAGGTACTAATAACAAAATCAGGGATATTCACAGCGGGATGAGGAAGTAAAAAAAATATCAGGTTAGTGATCATAATTGCTCAAAATCCATCCTTTCAACATGCATGACACACATGCTAAAAAGGGTAGGGCTTCAATTATGTAGTTGGAGCCATCCTCTGGACTTCTTAAATCTTTCCTCCACCTCAAATGACTAATCTAATTCTTGGGGGTTTTCCCCCTTGTTATATACACTCAGAATATCCATCTGCCCTTGTTTAAATGGAGTATCAGTTGCAAGTATTGGTAAAGCATCTTTGATAAAACATTCATCTCAATTACAGAAATTCCAACCAATAATGATAAGTGCAGTTATCTTAATAAATCATTTTTGATATCATTCCAAAGAGTTATTTTGAAACAATTTTGCATTTCTATTTGTCAATATAAGTCCCAAATATTTCACTTTTTTTCAACCTTTTTAATCAATATATCACAATATATCACAGAGGTCCTATTCTTAATAAACATTGTCATTTTCTGTTTGTTTATTTTGAAACCTGCTAAAACCCCAAACTCATTTAATTTCCTTAGCAAATGTTCCATATTATTTTTGGGGTCTTTTGAATTTCACATGAAATGGTTAAATTTCCATTAATAATAAACTTTGCTTGCTGTGACATATAAACTGCTTTAACCCCTTGAATAAAATTTGCCTCAAAGTTGATATCTTCGAAAACACTCTGAACATCAAAGTCCAATTTGAATTGCCAAAACCCTTCTCTGCTTACAAGAATATTAAAGTTGCCTGTTTCTCATTATGATATTGTAAATATTCAGTAATATTCAAAACATTGTCATATTATCTCTTAATTGCTTTTTTGGCAGAAAGCCAGATTGATCTTCATGAATAAATACCTGTAAAACCTGGACTAGTGCGATAAAATGCACCTTATTTTGAATGTTAACAATACAAAGGAGATCATTGTTGATTTTAGAAAGAGTCAGCAGAGTCTTTTTCCACTTTTTATCAAGGCTGCAGCTGTAGAGGTGGTCAATAATATTAACTATCGGGGGATGCAGATAATTAAAAATCTGACTTGGTCTCCTCATATCTTTATTTATCTTTAGTGAAGCGGGCAAACGAGCATTTCCTGTGTCAGATGAGGAGAGCACATCTTTTTCCTTCTGTCCTGGCCACTTTTTACAAAGGTACGATTGAGAGCATTTTAACAAACTGCATCACCATTTGGTTTGGTGGTAGCAGTTCCTCAGATAGAAGGTCCATACAGAGAGTGGTAAGGATAGCTGAGCAGATTATAGAAGCTCACTTCTCATTTTTCAGGATACTGTTGGTAAGTGTTATGTGCTTAGAATGCAAAGTATTGTTAGAGACCCCGCACACCCACTTCACAGCCTGTTTCTGTTGCTCCCATCTGGGAGGAGGTTTCAAAGTATTTCTAGCAGGACTACCAGATTCTCTAACAGCTTTGTTCTCTAAGCCATCTGTCTTGTAAACTCATAGGATTCTTTTTTTTCACCATGTATATACACTCAAATTACACTGTGATGTTTCCCTGTGTCATATGTGTGTGTGTGGGGGGGAGGGTATATGCATAATGGTTATCTTTTAACAATACCAATAGCACTTAGATTTATATACTGCTTTACAGTGCTTTACAGCCCTCTCTAAGCAGTTTACAGAGTCAGCATATTTCCCCCAACAATGTTGGCTCCTCATGTTACTCACCTTGGAAGGATGGAAGGCTGAGTCAACCTTGAGCCTGGTGAGATTTGAACTGCTAAATTGCAGGCAGCCAGAGTCAGCAGAAGTAGCCTGCAGTACTGCATTCTAACCACTGCGCCACCATAGCTCATCTTTTAAGAGCTGAATGCAATGAAATTTCATTTTAATGTCTGCTGATTAGTGTACATTTAAAGTAACAATAATTTTTTATCCTATCCTGTCCTATCCTATCCCATCCTATCCTACCCTATTCTAAAAAAAAGACAAACAAACCAGGAAGTTTTTTTAAAAAGAGAAATGGTGGCAAAGCCAGGCTGGTGGATTTATGGTCAAATAATTTACTTTTAATTTTGATGATCCAATCCTTAAGTCTAAGGAGGAATTAGAATCTGAAGCATATATCTGCTGTTGGTTTACATATTTACAATTGAAAGAAAGATTTAAATTAGTCCAAAAAACTTAAGGGTTTGATTTTGTGAAAAATGAACTGCTGTGAGTTAGTGATGAACATATTATTGCTAAGGTCTATAAATTGTTACTGAATTTGAACTTGGAAAATGAATATGTAGAGCACCGCATGATTCAGTGGACAAGGAATTTTGGATGTAATATAATATTTTTGAAAAATGGGAAATATGTGAATGAAAGGTTTAAAATTGACTCTAAGTTATAATTTAAAAGAAAATTTCTATAAGATGATATATTATTGGTATTTAACAGCAGATAAGTTGTCAAGAATGTATAAAGGTATTATAAATGAATGTTGGAAATGCAAAAGTAAAAAGGAACCTTTTATCACTTATGGTGGACATGTGACAAATCAAAGAAATATTGGAATAGGATTCACATCCTAATACAGAAGATTCTCAAAGTGAATTAAAGATAAACAGAAACTTTGCTTTTGCATTTAATGAAAAGAGACTTGGAAAAAAATTGGAACTTTGGTGCTACATATATTGACCGCAGCAAGATTACTTTATGCATAAAAATGGAAGGACACTTTGGTTTCTCCATTGGATGAATGGTTGAAAAAGTTGCTGGAATTAGCAGAGATGGGTAAACTAACTGCTTTGATTAAAGAAAAAAACATAATTAACTTTGTTTCTTTTAGGAAACAGCTCCTGGACTTTGTGTTCCAGGTGGAAAAAAAAGAAACTTGATTTTGGGTTTTACTGATTAGGTTTGTTGTTATAGAAATGGCTAGTTTATACTATTAGGTACAAGTAAAAAAGTTGATGTTTGATGTTATCTCATTCTACAAAGGGAGCTGGAAGTCATTACCTTTTCTTTCTTTTTCCACTATTTCCTACACTTTTCCCTTCCCTTTTCTGTCCTAATTTTTCTTACTATTTTCTTTTGCATTTTTATATTTTATATTATTAATTAAAAAAATAATGATTAATGATTGCTCTTCAGAAATAATGCTTTAAATAAACTTTGGATTGATAGATAGACAGACAGACAGACAGACAGATAGATAGATATAGAATAACTTTATTGTCACTTTGAATGTGTATGAATTGGCATACATTAAAATGGAATTTCATTGCAGACAGCTCTCAAAGAGTCACCACCTCCACTATACATGATATAAACATGACAAAATAAATAAAAAACACAAAATATTCATATACCCATATATATTATATGACACAGAGAAACAACACAGTGTATTTTGGATGCATATATGTACATGGAAAGAAAAACGAATCTTGTGAGTTTATCAGATGGGTGGCATAGGGAACAAAGTTGTTGTAGAATCTGGTAGTTCTGCTAGAAATACTTCAAAACCCAGAAAAGTCACAGAAAAGTCACATTAAATAGTCACAGTACAAAATATATAACACTGTACCAATTCCTATAAAATTAGAGATCAGGCACTTGGATATCATTTTTTTGTTGGGGTGTAAAAATTCAAGCAATGTTCTCATAAACGTGTATGTGTGTGTGTGTGTGTGTGTGTGTGTGTGTGTAATTTAGGAATAAATACTACAGTAGAAAATTCACTTGAAATCAGGTGTCATCTTTCTAATCACGTAATTATCTATTAATTTATTTGTTAAATCAATTTTCCTTAAATATGTTTCATATTCAATTACTTTAAATTAGTCGTTAGAAGCAGTAATAAAGTAAATTGAAATTAATTAATTTATTAATTTATTCCTCTGAATTAATAGTCTACCATTAATATAAATACCACAGCTCTATATCAATACTCCCTAAATTCAACAACAATTCAGTAAATGTTGCTTCCTGCTCATTAAGTACCTTTGAATTGAAAAAATTAGAATGGTTACATTTTTAAAAAAATTGAGGTTTTCTATTTCCATTCAGTCCTTTCTTCAGTCTAGTAATTTGGATAGGTTATTACCAAGACAGGGTCATTTGGTTTTCATGAGTGATCTTACTATTTATTATTTCTTACTTTGTCCAAGTTGTTGAAGATATTCAAACAGTTCTTTAAATTTGTCACATACTTTCTTCGTTGTACTCAAACACACTGCAAACCAATGATGGAGATTCTGACATATTTGCTTTGGATTAAAAATAATAAATTCGGCATGTCTTGAAAAATAGTTTTCTTTAAGCATATTAAAACAACTGTTAGGCCCATTCCTTTAAGAAAAATGATGACTGAAAGGAAAACTTTCAGGGAAAGGCTTTCTTGCATTGTGTTCAAATTGAATTATTTGTGTAGAAATTCCCAAAACATTAGCAAGCTCAATTAAATAAATAGTCATACAAAATTTTCTTCAGACTTGATATTTAGGAGATTACATGCTGATTCTGGCTATTTTTTGAATACTCATTAATTGTTCAAAGAGTTATTATTTTAAATAATAACCATTTTAAATAGTAATGCAATATTATCAGTTTAGATGTTATGATGAGACTACATCCTACCACCCCACCCCATCCAATCCAACATCACTCAAAACTAGGCATGCACGCCCGTAACTACCTCTATTCCAACCACAACTGGCCTTAAATGCAAGCTACTCAATGCAAGAAGCCTTGTAAATAAAATATCTGAATTTCTCCTCTTACTAAATACGGTTAAATTTGACATTATATTTGTCTGTGAAACATGGTTCAACGCATCTCTCCCTGACTCCATTACCACAGTAAGAGACTATCATGTTTACCAATCAGATCATGAAATCCGTAGAGGAGGTGGTGTTGCTATCTTCTATAAAAAGTCCCTACATGTAAAAAATATCCAAGTTACCCAGGAGCTTGCTATTCCTGAGACCATTATCTGTGAACTGTCCTTAAGTATCACATTTCGGTTCTTACTATGTTACAGAGCCCCTGATTATGACATCGAACATGCAAACAAGCTAAATACACTATTAACATGGGCAGCATCCTGCCCACACGCTTTTATCTTTCTTGATGACTTCAATCTACCTCACATTAACTGGACCCTAAACGAATGTACAACTGAACCCACACATGCAACCTTCTACAATGCAGTAATAAACCTGAGACTGGAACAACTAGTAACCAATAACTCTAGACTTAACAATTGCCTCGATCTCATCTTCTGCAATAGTTTGAACTCAATTTATGGAATACAAATTAAAGAACCCTTTTCCAACAGTGACCACAACATGATTGACTTTTGTCTCAACATACATCATCACAACAACGGAGTCCCCAATTATAACTTCAAAAAAGGCAACTATAATCTTATAAACAATGATCTCTCATCCCTTGATTAGCAATTTCTATTCTCTGGATGCAATACTGTACAAGACCATTACAACATATTTTTACTTGAAGTCAAAAGAGCCATCAAACTATATGTACCATTAACAACTCCCAAAACCAGAAAAAACAATTACCCATAACAATAAGGAAGTTTCAATCCAAAAAGAAATCACTTTGGTGGAAAAACAAATCTGGTCACGTTGCCAACTTCAAAAGCCGATACAAAAATTTATGCCACCAGATAAAAACTGAATGTACCAATTATCACGTTAAACAAGAAGAAAACCTTCTACACACCAATTCCACCTGCCCTTTCTACAATTTTGTAAACAACAAACTAAAATCTCAAGGTCCATCCCACCCCTGAAAGGACCTAATGGTAAAGACTGCAACGATGACACTATTAAAGCCAACCTCTTTAACACATTCTTTGGCTCAGTATTTGTAAACAGCAATGGATCATGCCCAGTATTACCTAGTTGAACCACAGACAATTACAATGATTTAATACATATCGATTTTACAGTAGACAATGTTGAAACAGCACTACGCTATCTAAAACCATCTCTATCTATTGGACCGGATGGAATATGTGCCCACTTCTTTAAAAAGCTACACACTGCCATAGTCGAACCTATAAGCATCATCTTTGAAAAATCTTTCAGGACCAGCTTCTTGCCAAAACTATGGTCACAAGCCACGGTTATCCCCATCTTCAAAAAGGGAGACGCCAGCCTAGTTGAAAATTACAGACCACTCTCTTTATGCTGTGTCACCTGTAAAGTCATGGAATCAATTATTAACCAATCCATCATCCTCCACTTAGAAACAAACAACCTACGCTATAATAAACAATTTGGTTTTAGGAAAAAACTATCATGTAATCTGCAACTCTTACACTGCAAAAACATATGGACTACACAACTCGATCAGGGCAAAGCAATAGACACAATCTACATAGACTTCTGATTTGATTCAGTGGTACACGACAAACTACTCCTAAAACTAAAATCTTACGGTATCTCTGGACACCTGCTTAACTGGACAGAAGCATGCCTGTCAAACAGACAACAAATGGTCAAAATTGGAAGCGTCCTATCAAATTCTGTACCTGTTCACAGTGGTGTCCCCCAAGGCAATGTTCTAGGACCAACTCTCTTCATACTCTATATAAATGACCTCTGTGATCATATCAAGAGCAACTGTGTTCTCTTCACTGATGATGTAAAGCTATTTAACACCACAGACAATATTCCTACCCTTCAAAAATACCTTGACTATATATTAGAATGGTCAAACAAATGGCAACAAATAAATGCTCTGTCCTACATATTGGCAAAAAAAAAAAAAATTAGAAAATAAAATACAGGCTTAATAATCAAGACCTTGTTGATGATCCAAACTCTGTCAAGGATCTTGGAGTACTCATCTCAAATGACCTAAGTGCTAGAGCCCACTGTAACTACATAGCCAAAAAGGCATTAAGAGTTGTTAACCTAATCTTACGTAGCTTTTTCTCTGGTAATATTACACTAATAACTAGAGCATACAAAACATTTGCTAGACCAATACTTGA